TCAGCCTCAGCCTGCCTCAGCCTCAGCCTCAGCCTCAGCCTCAGCCTGCCTCAGCCTCAGCCTCAGCCTGCTTCAGCCTCAGCCTCAGTCTGCCTTCAGCCTCGGCCTCAGCCTCAGCCTGCCTCAGCCTCAGCCTGCATCAGCCTCAGCCTCAGCCTCAGCCTCAGCCAGCCTGCCTCAGCCTCAGCCTGCCTCAGCCTCAGCCTCTGCCTCAGCCTCAGCCTCAGCCTCAGCCTGCTTCAGCCTCAGCCTCAGCCTCAGCCTCAGCCCTTCAGCCTCGGCCTCAGCCTCAGCCTGCCTCAGCCTCAGCCTGCATCAGCCTCAGCCTCAGCCTGCCTCAGCCTCAGCCTGCCTCAGCCTCAGCCTCAGCCTGCCTCAGCCTCAGCCTCAGCCTGCTTCAGCCTCAGCCTCAGTCTGCCTTCAGCCTCGGCCTCAGCCTCAGCCTGCCTCAGCCTCAGCCTGCATCAGCCTCAGCCTCAGCCTCAGCCTGCCTCAGCATCAGCCTGCCTCAGCCTCAGCCTCAGCCTCAGCCTGCCTCAGCCTCAGCCTCAGCCTGCTTCAGCCTCAGCCTCAGTCTGCCTTCAGCCTCGGCCTCAGCCTCAGCCTGCCTCAGCCTCAGCCTGCATCAGCCTCAGCCTCAGCCTCAGCCTGCCTCAGCATCAGCCTGCCTCAGCCTCAGCCTCAGCCTGCCTCAGCCTCAGCCTCAGCCTGCTTCAGCCTCAGCCTCAGTCTGCCTTCAGCCTCGGCCTCAGCCTCAGCCTGCCTCAGCCTCAGCCTGCATCAGCCTCAGCCTCAGCCTCAGCCTGCCTCAGCATCAGCCTGCCTCAGCCTCAGCCTCAGCCTGCCTCAGCCTGCCTCAGCCTCAGCCTCAGCCTGCTTCAGCCTCAGCCTCAGTCTGCCTTCAGCCTCGGCCTCAGCCTCAGCCTGCCTCAGCCTCAGCCTGCCTCAGCCTCAGCATCAGCCTGCCTCAGCATTCAAAATGTGGCCCGGGAATGGAGTTCTGGGAACTCGAAGAACACGAAGTGGCCTACAGTTGGCTCCGGGCATTCAAAATCATGCCCAGGAATGGAGTTCTGGGAACTCGAAGACCACGAAGTGGCCTACAGTCGGCTCCAGGCATTCAAAATCATGCCCAGGAGTGGAGTTCTGGGAACTCGAAGACCACGAAGTGGCCTACAGTTGGCTCTGGGCATTCAAGATCATGCCCAGGAATGGAGTTCTGGGAACTCCAAGAACACGAAGTGGCCTTCAATTGGCTCCGGGCATTCAAAATCATGCCCATGGAATGGAATTCTGGGAACTCGAAGACCACGAAGTGCGTTACTGTTGGCTAAAAAAGGAGTCCCCGGATTTCCCCGGTTATCCCGCGGCACCCGTCCGGCATCTGCCCAGACCCCCCCTGGGGAGTCATGATGCTCTCTTCTGACCCTGCTAGAGAAGCTATCAGTCTTCGCTGTCAGGCAGCACCAAAAACGGAAGAACTGCCTGGTTTTGGCCTCAAGACGGGGTCGCCAGAGCCTTCGGATTTCGAGACTCGGGCGACTCGGCGCGTCCATTTGTGCCCGAGGACGAAGGATTGCAAAACAAAACAAAAACAAAAACCAAAAACAAAAACAAAAACCAAAAACAACAAAAAAAAACAAAAAAAATCCTTTTGCAATCCTTGGTTCAGCGCCTGGGCAGCGTGTCAAATCTTGTCCGCGCCAGCGTCGGGGCCTCAGCGCTCGGCCCCTAGAGGGGCGCGGACAACATCTACGCGGCGCGTTCGCACGACACCTCGTCCTCGGGCGAAGGGGGCGCGTTGAATTTCGCTCTCGAGCTCGCCTGAGGCGCCTGGGGGCGTTGTCCGGGGTTTTGATTGACAGGCCCTTCTCGCACGCACGTGTGCCTGCAATGTAGGTAAGATTAGGGCTGACTGGCACGGCGCCGCGCCGTGCGAGCCCGATCAGCTTCGCGCTCTCGCGCCCGCAACAACCAGAGGAGGGCGACGCTCCCCATGCGGCCACCGATGGCGGGCGCTTCCTTCTCCTCGGGAGCCGTTTGGGAGCCTCTCGGGGTTTCTTTTCGGCCTCCTTGAGACCTTTTTGGGCCCCCTTGGACCGTCTTGCGGCCTCCTGGGGGCCTCTTGGGGCCCTCTTGGGCCGTCTTGGGTGCCCCTTGGGCCGTCTTGGGGCCGCCTGAGTCCGCCTTGGACGCCCCTGGGGCCGGTTTGGGGCCGTCTTGAGACCGTCTTGGGCCGTCTTTGGCCGCTCCTGGGGCTGCCTTGGGCGAGCGACTCTTAAGGCCGTCGTGACGCGCCTCAGGAGCGGTCCTGGGGCCGTCTTGGGCCGTCCTGGGGCCGCCTTGGGCCGTCTTGAGGCTCTCATGGGGCGCTCCTGATGCGTCCTGGAGCGATCTTGGGGGCGTGAAGTGTCCTCTTGGACGCTTTGAAAAGGAAAAGCACGGGAATTGCGAAGATGTACGTTTTCCTTCGGGATTGAAGCGATTTCTGCTTGTGCGGGCTTGGAGCGTTTTGGGGGCCTCTTCGGCCGTGTGGGGGCTATCTTGGGCGTCTGCGAGCGTTCCTGGACCGTCTCGGAGGCCTTCTTAGACCGTCTTGGGCCGCTCTTGGGACCCCAGGGTCGTCTCGGAGCGCTCTTGGGCCTCCTGAAGAGCGCCGGGGCCTGAGCGGGCTCGCAGAAGCCTGCAGGGGCCGCCGGGGCGCCAGAACATCTCGCCCCGAACCCCGCCCCTCTCGCACGCGCGTATGCTATGCCTGCAATGTAGTAGAGACTATGGCTGACACGCGGACAACGTCTTGGAAATCTGCATGAACTGGCATGTACATGTGGACTGGTGCCGAAAGGCTGAATTGATAACGTGGGGGCTCGACCTTCCTATTCCGCACATGTTTCTGCTTGCTGATGCTTGCTGCCGCTGTGGCGTACTGCTGTTGATGCGTGCCGCTACTGCGTATTGTTGCCGCTTGCGGCTGTAGGGTGCTGCTTACAGCCAATTCTGTTTGGTGCGCGATGTTGCCCGCGGCTCGCTGCTGCTTGCTGCTGCTTTGTGATGCCGCTGATGCTGCCTGCTTGGTGCTGCGTGCTGCTGCCGTTCGCTGCTGCTGCTGCTGCTGCTGCTGCTGCTGCTGCTTGATGCTGCAGGGTGCTGTTTCTCGCTGCTTCAGCTTGCTGGCGCAGCCTGTGGCCAGGAGAGGATCGAGGAGCAAGGATCGAGAAGATCGAGGAGGGGGGAGGGAGAAGTGAAGAGCGATCAGCGACGAGCTAGAGGGGAGGAGCGACGGCCGAAAAGAGAGGGGCGAGAAGGGAGAAAGCAGAACCGAGGAGAGAGGAGGAGGGAGGGGGGAAGGACCTCTTGAACTTATCACGGGGGCCTCGTGAGAAGAGGCCTCTGGGGATGTTTCTCGGGGGGCCTCTTGGATGTCCATCGGGGCCACATCGTGGTGCAGTCCTGGGCCGCCTTGGGCCCGTCTTGGGGCCATCTTGGCGGCCTCTTGGGCCGCCTTTGGGCCGTCTGGGAGCCTATTGAGTCGTCTTGGGTCGATCTCGAGGGCTTCTTGGGCCGTCTTGGCATCCCGAGGCCCGAAAAAGCGAGCATGCGAACATCTTTCGAACACCTCTAGAAACTCAATGTGGGTTTGCTCCTGGAGGCCCTCTCAGGGGCTTCTTGGAGGCGCCTGCGGGCGTGTTTGCGGCCTCTTAGGCCATCTTGGGGTCGCCAGTATTGCTTGCTGCTGCAGGGTGCTGTTGCTTGCTAGTGCTGCTGCTTGCTGCTGCTTGCTGCTGCTGCTGCTTGCTGCTGCTTGCTGCTGCTGCTGCTGCTGCTGCTGCTGCTGCTGCTGATGTGCGCTGCTGACTGCTGCTGCTAGCTGCGCATGAATGCTGCTGGTGATTGTTTGGCTGCTCTGGATCTGGAGGCCAATCTGGGATTTCCGTGGGCCCAATTGACGGCACCTTGGGGCCGACTTCGGCAGTCTTGGACCGAATTCGCCAGGAGCCTCGTGGGACGTCGTGGCGCCCTCTGGGGGGCCCTCTCGAGCTCCTTCCCGGGTCCTCGTGGGGTCCCCTGGGAGCGCTCCGGGGCCGTCCTCGGGCGATCTCTGGGCCGCCCTGTAGCTGGAGCTGCACGCAGCGCCCTGCGGCTCTAGTTGGAGCCCTCGTGGGGCCGCCTTGGAGCTGTCCTCGGGACGCGTGAGGCGTGACCGTGGCGCGCCTGCAGCCTCTCCTGGGGGGCCTCTTCGGGCATCTCCTGGAGGATGGCGTGCACTTCGTGGCGGCCCCTTTGGGGACTCTCTCGGAGCGCAAGCTCAGATGACAAGCAAAAAACGTACCCCCTAACCCTTTGGGAGGGGACCGAAACTAGGAGGGCCAGAAACATCAGGGATATATGGGGCCTTTTCTGCAGATGTCTCGAGCCAAACCGCCCATCTCTACTATCCCGAATGCGAAGACGGGGACCTCAGTGAGGCCACGTATTCACTATGCTATTAGGGTCAGGGGTTCTGTTGTTCTCGATGACCAGAGCTCGTGAGGCTCGAGGCGATTGGAAAAAGGCATCGGAGCACCCAGGTTGGCGGATCGGCCTGAGCGCAACCATCACGGCAGCCGCTGTCCGTGCCAGACGCACTTAGAGTTACCGAGAGCGGAGTGAGGTACAGTAAGGGGACAAAAAGTGGAACCACTTCGTTTTCGACCCCGTGTTCGCCCCCCCCCCCCCCCCTCCTTCCCCGCAAACTCAAAGTTGGCGTCTGGCCTGCTGGAGGGCCTGGAGGGTCCACTGTTTTGGTCCTTTCGAGCATGTGCTCCCGAATGCCCACGGTCAACTTTGAATAGAGGCGGGAAGGGGGGAACGGAGCCAAGGGTTCCGCTTTTTCCCGTCTGCGGTAGCAAGCGAGGTAACAGCATCGAGCTAAACACCCAAGCGGTTCGTTTAGCAGGGGGGGAGCGACAGGAAAGAAAAGGACCCCTTCTCGCACAATTCGTTGAACCCCGGCAGATGACGATATGATGACGTCGGGCTCCAGCGTCGCCTGCCACATCTCGCTCAGCAACGCAATCGCCCTCTGCCACTGCTCGCCCTTCTCGCACGCGCTGATCCCGGCATTGTAGCTGAGGGCGTGCCCATGAACTTACATCGACGAAAGGCTCTCCACCTGCAAAAATGAAGGTCGCTGGTCTGCATCACTGCTTTCTTGCTGCCCCTTGCTCTCGTCGCTAATAGTTTGCTGGTCTGACACTTGTTTTGCCCGCTTGTCTTGTGCTGGCCAGCTTGCCTGAAGCCTTCCTTGCTGATGTGTTGGGTTGCTCCTGTCAGTGCTTGATCGTTCGCTCGCTACCGCATGATGACACTTGGTATGGCTTTCTGCTGCTTGGTTGTTGCAACCTGCTGTGTGTTGCAAGTGCTGCCTGCTGTTGACGGATATGTGATGCTGTTCGTGGAACTTGCCACTGCTTAGCACTTGTTATGTTAAACTATGCTGTCGCTGTTTGCGGCTGTTCGCCACAGCTGCTTAGTGCCGCAGGCTGCTGCTTGATAGGTCTGCTTGTTGATGGTGTCTCCTGCTGCTTCTGCTTGCTGCTGCTGCTGCTGCTTGTCTGATGATACTGCGTGCTTGCCAATGCTAGCTGATGTTGCTCATTGCTGCTGTTGCCTTGGCAGCCACTGTATCCAAAGGCTGTGAATATCTGATGACGTCGGGCTCCAGCTCCGCCTCCCGCATCTCGCTCAGCAGCGCAAGCGCCCGCTGCCACTGGTCGCCCTTCTCGCATGCACTGACCCCTACATTGTAGCTGATCACGTCGGGCTCGAATTTCGACCCCCACATCTCGCACAGCAGCGCCAGAGCCCGCTGCCACTGCTCGCCCTTACTGCACGCACTGACTGCCGTAATGTAGCAGCCTCTTCCGACTTCTGATCGTACTTGAAAGGCTTCGCGAAAAAGAAGCAGCGCGGCACGCCATCGCCTTGTCCTCCCGCATTTCTGTATGGACGCTGCGAGAGAAAATGCACCGTGCCTTGACCCTCGGCCGATGTCTAGCATGCATTAAAAAAACTTGAACCGACCCGGAGCGGAACATCCTCCTCTTCCTCCTCTTCCTCCTCCTCCTCCTCATAGTCATCAGTATCATCCTCCGGCATCATGCTTCTTTTTCTGCTCAACTCTCCTGCTCTTCCCCGTTATGTCCTCATCCCCCGTCTTCCCCAGGACGAAGGGAGAGGAGGGGACTAAGAAGCAGGATAAACAACACCAGCAGCAGACAGGAGGCAGGGGGACGACGACGAGAAGGGCCCCTCATCCTCCGCCTCCTCCTTCTCCTCCTCCTCCTCCTCCTCCTCCTCCTCCTCCTCCTCCTTCTGCCACGGCGACGTCGATCACGACGACGACGTCGTCGGCGATGACGGCGATGCCGACTGCGGCTCCTCGAAACCGCCGGCCCCGTCGGAGCTGACGACCTGTGCGCGGGGCGGGCTCGCCCGGGCCCCCGCGCGCTGGCCAGGGGCCGCGGAGGGAGGTGCCTCCTCCTGCGGGCCGCTCCCGAGAAGGCACCCTCTTCCACGAGCAGAGTGATCGACGCGGTCGGCTTTGCCACGGAGTCGCCCGCTCGAGCCTTGCAACTCGAGCCTGAGCCGACCCCCCTCTGTCGTTGCACCTTGAATTTCGGGCGCCCCGCGCGCGTATAGGGAGACGGCCGAAGGGCCACTCCTATACGGGATCCGTTGGTTGAGGCGAGGAGTGGGACCTCTTTTCCAGGGCACTGCGCAGCGAGCAATGCACTGCTGTTGTCTTGCCAATACCTGAGCCAATACAGTTGCGGAAGAAGGGATATAATAGAAAAGTGAGCGGACTTCACACGCACGCGCCCCGTCCCGAAACCTATCAGCTCCCGAAAGCCTCGGGCCCGCGGGAGACGACGGCAGGAGTCCGGAACAGAGGTGTGAGGTCCACTCGCAGTCCCGTTCTATCCACCGCCCCTTCCAAACGGAGGTGCGTTGGCTAGGAAAGGTGGGGGAAAGGACCAAACCCGCCACGCGGGGTACTTAGGAGTGTCTACCCGACTTTGCGGGCCCAGGGTGCGGCCCCCAAAACGCTGCGGCACTCCTGGACGACACTCCGTCACCACAGGTGACAGGGATGGGAGAGCAAGGGAGAGAGATCAGCAAGGTGGTACCCAGCATCCCTCGATGCAGGTGTTGCCACCGCCGCGGCGGCACACGCGCAAGACTAAGTGGATCGAAGTTGTGATGACAACTCGATTGTAGGAAAAGGTAGCTCGCACTTGTGGGGCACTTCAGGCCCAAAATATTGTCAGGGCGCTCCAGGCCCAGTGTGACAGAATCTTATGATAGTTGTGATGACAGCTCATATCTGATAATATATCACGCATGATGCGAGGCACTCCAGGCCCCAAACATACTTTGAAGAGTAAACCAAGTATGAGAATGGGGAATGCTTTGCATCGGTCGTACACTGACGCCGTCCCATGATAAGATAGATGCTGATATTATGTATAATATTACTGGCGGGCGACCTGCTTGGGCGCGTTCATGCCCGATTGCCAGATTGTATTGCGCAAAAAAACCGACATGCAGCGTAACGTCAACTATCCAAATCAAATAACACAACTGCCAATGTGCCTGCATATATAAATGAATGGTATACATAATGAGATCGAAACACTTCCAAAATCGGTTGTGGTAGAATATACATCAAACTACGCAGTAAACTTACGTCAGTCAATATTCACTTCTGGAATGTCTCGTAGTAGCGCTCATCCCAAACGCGATTTCCATGGTCATTGAACCAGCTGATAGCAATGGTCCTACAGTTGTCCCATGACCATATGTTCTCGGAGTCGTCGCCGTCGACATAGATCCACTGGGACAGGAAGAACGACCAGTAGCGATGCGTATCGTGTTGGTAGTGCTGGAGACCACGACGCCACCATGCACAGACGTTGCGGCACTCGCGCGCGGCGCCCCTGCTGCGGCCACGCTCGTCAGCGTTGTCGCGCTCACGTCTTGGTGGTGTCGGGGGGCGGCGCGGCGTCGATGAATGGGCGGCGCCGCCAGTCCAGCCCGCGGCGTCGGCTCAGCCAGCGCCGCCAGGGGCATGGGCGGCAGCGGGGCCATCGCGGCGCGGGGGTGGGGGAGCTGGGGCGAGGCGAATGGGTTCATCGGAGGCAACTGCGAAGTCGCCCATATTACCCTTTGCGGCGCCTTTGGGCGCCTGCCTTTGGAGCTCACCTAACGTGACTCGGTTCATCTGACCTCGCCCCCTGGTCAAGAACCCACGGTCGAGGCGCTCGCCACGAGGCGCCGCTCCGGGAGCCTGTGCCCGCCGGCCCGCGTGGCCAAGCTGCGCGCTGACACGGGGCCGTCGCATGCCCTCATACATATCCCCTAACGTGAATGAGCACTGTTGTTTCAGCACTCTGTCCTCGGTCATCTGACGGTGGAAGATCCCGCGTTCCTGGCGCCGAGTGGCGAGGCCGGGGCATGGGTGATAGAGGGCGGTGTCCTCTTTGTCAGCGTCTTCTTCTCCACCGACACGACGATGGCCAGGGTTCGGACTGCCAACCGCCAACCGCTTGGCGCGTCGGTCCTCGGCTTTGTGAGCCAGTCTGCGTAGGTCGCCCTTTTCGGCGGCATCTTCTAGACGCTGTCCCTGGATGCGAATCTGGACATCCGCACGCATAAGCTGGCGCACGATGTTCTCGCCCATTTCTTCGCGGATCCAGTGGCGCGCGTCTGCCAGGACCTGAACCTGAATCGCGCCTGTACCCCCATGCCTCAATGACTCAGTGCACACGTGGCACAGGTCATCTTCGCACGTGTCGTGATTGGGGAGGTCGCGGTAGCAGCTAGCGCAATGGCGCTTTGCGGTCTGATAGTCAGCCGCCCCGTTTTGACTGAGCTCCGGAATGCGATTGCCAGCGTCGCCACCAGCGCTCAACTTTCGGCCGATCCCACGGACAGCATGATCCGGCACGAGGTGAGCGCGATCGGTGGCTAGATCGTTGGCCAAAGATTCCAATCCCTTATCGGTCATTGGATCAGAGAAACCCCATCCATGATCTGGTCGCGATCACGGTGTGCTGAGGCCGCGCCCTGATGATCTCGCAGGAGTTTCTCCGCTCTGCGGCGAATCTCTTGATTCAGTGCGTCTCCGTCGCTGGCGTCGCCCATGCCATCATCATAATCGGAGCGCATCGCGTCCATGAGTTGTTCCTGGTCAGGAGCAACGGCCAACGCTATGCTTCCAGGGTCAGTGGCAGGGACGTTATCTTCAGCAGGTAGCGGAGTGGCGTCAGCCCTGAGGTTGAATTGATCTTTCATCGGGTCCGTCAGCATGTCACTGCACTCCGGGTCGGAGAGCACCGTCGTTTCCCAGAGCATGAGGAGTGGCGCCATAGCTGGATGATGCTTGAGGACGCCCGACGCAGGGGTCTCCACCAACCGAAATGTAGCATCGCTCTGTGTGATGGCGAAAAGATGTGGAACCCAACGGGGGAGTACGAATGCCTCAGTACGAATTCCGTCATCATCGTAGACAGGAAAAGGCTGCGGCCACAAACATTCGGTAGTTGACAGGCCCATGGACTAAAAGGGTTAAACATCATATTGCACCAATCCTCCTTCGGGTCAAAACGGAATCGTATCCCGAGATGACTGTCGTAGTAGTATGTATCCAGGTATGTTGCCGTGCACATTTGATCCACCTCGCACAGTGGGGTCATCAACATCGGAACGCCCCGTGTATTCCTGCCAGCCGCATGAAGGTTCCTCAGTTCCTCACTCGCAAGCCTGGCAAAAATGGACGGCAGGTCCTCGATGACTTAGATCGTCGTAATCAGCTTCGTCTCGTCGATCCTGATGTCCCGTATCTTGTTATTTTGGAGCGCGGGTGTGCCCACCGACTTGTCGATAGCAGCATCGTCGCCGATAGGCCCAAGGTGGAGGTCAACATCGTATGAGTTGAAGTGGTCAATGAACAAGTCAGGCAGCTCGGTATGCAATGGAACTGCGAAAAGAAAGCCGTTCCGGTCGTCATTCTTCACGGAGTACCATATGTTGGCCCAGAATGGGCCATGACCCTTGCATGGGATCTGCACGCTGACGCATGGTCCATCTTGAAAAGTGTCTATGATAGGTCCGAAGATCCTCCATTTTCCCAGCGTGAGTGCGACATCTTTCTTTGCTGGCCATAGGCGATCAACGGCGCGGCAACGGGCAGAGCCATGCAGTCGTGTGTATATAACGTCATGTGCACGACTGTCTCGAAAGCGACTGCAACGATCCCAGGTGCCAAGATGAAGTGTCTTCACGAATGGTTCAAAGTATTCCTTCTCGCGATCGTCCGCGATCGTCCACCAGTGAGCAATGTTCAGGATGTCCGCGTCGGTCGCAGTCGGTGCAGGGTTTGCCGCCGGCTCCCCTCCGAATAAGAGTGGTCCAGTTGGGGCTCGTCCTGCTTTGGCCCTGGTTGCAGTCCTGGCGTTTTGGGAACATTTGCTGCAGCAGAGGAAGAGGAGGAGCGCATCCAAGTAGGCATAAGCTTGGGGCGTGGTGCCTGGAGGTATGTCCGTAGTGGCTCTGCTGCAGGTGTCACCACTGGCACAATCTCGCAGACCTCGCATTGGCTCCGTGGTGCCGGCAATTTGGCCAACTCTGACTACTTCCAATTCGCATTGTTTGGTTTCAGAGGGCCGCCCCCGACAGGTCTGATGGCTAGGATGGCCATCGGTGGAGTAATCCAGGGGCGCATGAT